GATGGGTCTGTTTCTTTGATCGGGTAGATGGAGGAGAGGATAAAGAAGAAGCGACACAAGATCGTGCAGGCCAAGACCGGCTCGTCCAATGCCATGAAGGTCGTCTTCAACAAGTAATTATGTCTTCCATACTCCCCCTCTTTTTTTGACGAAAGACAGCAGCGACACGTAATTTCTGTCTTTCAACTACCCCTATTCTGAATTGGATCTCATTCTTCTTCCCGGCAGAGAAAGAGGGTAAACTTCATTCTGAGAAACATGAGTTCTTTTTAAGAATCACAGTACAGACGCTTACAAGCACATACATAGACTTACCTGTATGAACATGAGCACCTCCGAGAGACTAAGCAGGCGGGTCTTGAGCCTCCCACTGAAAGAACATTCCGCCTTTATGAGACACCAAAGCGTCAAGCTTGGGTTTAATACCTCGTGGGCTCAGGGTATCACTGTTGTCCTAACCATCCAGGCTCCATTCCCGAGCCTGACATAGGCTGGCCACACCAACCTACCACCACCACACCGCGCATCGAAGACCTTCGACCCCATGTGCCCGACAAGCGTCACCACAACCAAGGAAGCATGACATTGTGGCTCAGATTCGCCATGCGCCGAGCCGCCCATAAGGCTGGCCATAGTGGGGAGTAACTTAGACTAGTAACATGCATATGTTACTAGTCTATGTTACTACCTCTATAGTGCATAGTATCATAGATTAGTATCATAGGTGGTCTCATTTATTGCCATGCATGACACATAGTAGCGCCACATTTATTATGTTACATTATCTACCTATGTTACTATAACCATCTCTCTCTTCTTTAATTGCCTCCCACATAAGCATGTTTGCGAGTCCCAAGTACATGATAGTACTTATGCTACCTCCACTATGGCCAGCCTAACCCGATGCGCCACCACAGGCCACCGCCCCGAATTCGGGCGCTACAAGTGAGCACCTGCTGCCGCACTGGCTACTATCGTCCCCACGAGCACGACAACCGTTGTCGTGACCATCAGATCCAGGCACCGGGGCCTGGATTCCATGCGAGTCGAACCGCCCCATGGTCAGCCGCACTCGACCTCCTCGTCACGCTAACGAGCAGGCTGCCACAAGATTCGCCGCCCGCTGCTGCCCCGGCTTCTGCCACCATGCCGCGAGCAGGTTGCGCCGGCCAAGGCAATGGGCCACACACGTAGGGAGGTCGCCTTGCCGCTGCCATCCGCCGAGCCAGGCTTAGGCCGTTGGCCTCATCCAGCAGTGGCCAGGGCTGGAGGTTGAGGAGGAGAGCGATGGGGCAGCGGCGGCTAGGGTTCGCGCGTGCCGCCCCCCTTGGAGAGGAGGCGAGCACAACTATAGTGCTAGGTGCAACAGGACGTGGAATATTTACACCCGAGCTCAAATGCTCCTGGTGAACAGTAAAATCGGGAAAAATAGTAAACAAATTCATAAAATTCTGATTTTTTTGGGAACCTTTGACAAATGTTCTATGTGCTTGCAAAAATTTATCATGAATGAACATTCCTGGAAGTCGTGGCAAAAAAAACAAAATTGATACTCCAAAACTGCTATTTTTTGAAAGCATTTTGGAGTACTGATTTTGTTTTTTTGAAAATTTTCAAGCATAGAAAACATTTATCAAAGGTTACCACAAAAAAAATCAGAATTTTTTTAATTTATTTTCATTTTCTTTCGATTTTACTGTTCACCCGAGATGAGCACAAGAACACTTTCGGTGCAACAGTTTTTTTTTCCGACTAAAGACAGCAGCGCTGTTTTCTTCCATACTCTCATACATGCACCATGTGTACAAGATGTATTCACGATCTTTTGCTAGTGTAATTAATTTGCGTTTTTTCTTGCCCGTGCTAGGTTTGATTTCTCCAATTCATATATATGGTTTGAGTTCTACAATGCTCTATTGCCAAAAGATGTGAAATTAATTTGTGATGTGAGTTCTTTCATTTTTCCTTCAAAATAAAGTACTCGTGATGCTTTATGTAGCAGCTAATATATTCACAAGATGTTGCATTTTCGTTTTTATTGTGCTTGCAGACTCTGCGATCATGGCATATACTTGGACGCCTTGGTGGGTGCAATTCCGTGAATATGCAGGTAAACTTATTGCACCGGATGTACGGCCCCTTCTGAAGTTTGCAGAGAGCAAATCCTTTGTTTTCTTGCTCATATACTTCAACTAGGATGATACTACGGTATGAGAATCTTTATATCAGCTAATTATGGGACATTTATCATTTTGAAACTGGTAGATGACCTTACGTGGCTCACCACACAGCTAATTCATAGTGTTCACTTTCACTATCCTATGGTGTTTGCTGAAATGGCTGACATAAAAAGAATATAACACCTAACATCTGCTATTATCTTGGATATTGTGGTCACTTCAGTTCTTCAATTGGACTTTCCTACTTTGCAGTAAGAAACTACTGTTTCTTTGCAGCTATCACAGTTGAGTTTAGATTGTAAAAGACCAACTTATGATGCTCTTGAAGCAGCAAACGCCACACCAACATCCTTTTACAACATTGGTGATCTAGAGATTCAAGAGAACCTAGCACGTGTCTGGTGTGGATTCTTTCTCTAGCCCTTATTACAAACTGTTGATTGCAATTTTTTTCATGTTGGCACGTGAGTTATGGCAGGGTAACTTGAACAGGGTTGTCATTCCACAGTCTGATTTCATGATTGTTCTATCTGGCTTCACAACATTCTTTATTAAATGACATTATCAGTTGTTTGTATAAGCAAGATTTTGCAAAATATAACACATTACATGCAACGGAGCATTTGCAACAAAAAGACCATTGAATCTGGGTTTAATTTTCAGAAATCAGTTGGTGCGACCTCGGACTTTTAACCAAATTTGTTGGTGCAATAAGCCTGCTATGACTTATTGCATGTATGTCAAATCAGTTTGTACGACGTCCCAACTCTGACTGAAATTGTTACTAGTTCCACTTATGACAAGCATCTGAATTGTATGAACTATCCATTTATCTAATATACTGTACATTTGTGCAACATCTACTGGAACACTAAACCGTTCCATATTTCAACTCTGAACACTAAACTATACCTGTGCAACATCTTCATTAAATGACATTTATCATACTAATATATTTTTTTCTCAGGCTTGTGTGGCTGCTTGAGTCAGAAATATCCAGTCCCTTTAATTAAAATAGATTTATCTGACAGAAAATATTATGTATCTTGTACTTGTTCAATATGCAGTTGCATTTGACATCAGCCTTGACTCTTAGCTTTGATCTTATTGATCTCCCCAGGGTGGACATTGGTATTCAAGATCCATTGCTTTTGGACATCCTGCTTAATTCATTAACCACCATAAATTCGGAGTGAGACTCTGAACCTTGAACTTCATTTTTCTTTTGAGGAATCACTTGTTGCTATTTTATCATTGTTGTTGTATACTGTACTCTTATGGGTTTCAGCTCTAGCCTACCCCAACTTGTTTGGGACTAAAGGCTTTGTTCATCAGGATCTGAACAATGATGCAGTTGGATCCTTAGATATACTTCACATTATGTGTATTCCCTCTGTCTTTCTGTTTTGCATGCCTCATGAAAGTCATGTCTGAGAAATATTAATTTGGAATCATGGTGTAGCATCTGTTGAACAAATTAAAATGGAACGGAAGGCACTAGTTCTTACCTAGTTATGTGTGTAGGGTCTTTACAATCTGAACACTGCAATGTTTTTTGAGTAAAAGGTACCATTACTCCATAAACTCATGGTGAAGGAACACTTAAGTCCATGAACTCAAGAATTGCGCACCCGAAACGCGTTTAAGTGAACCACTTAGGTCCACAATCATTTATGTCCCATACTTCATTTACAATGGTCTGCTGCAACGAATTGATTTTTATTTTCCTTTTTTTTCTCTAAAGCGAAGCAATTGCTATTCCTTCTTTGTAGGTAAGTTCTTAGACATTGTATGGTTTTAAATTTACCAGGAGTAACATTTTCACTCTCCGGAAAAAACATCCAAATTGAAGTTCAGTTAGTTGCAGAACTTGTAAAATTTTCAAAGCTGCAGTAAATTTTAAGCATATTCTGGTCTTTGATTATTGTGTGCTTCACTGCCTGCAAGCGATCTATGTGAGCCTTATGCTGAATTGCCTTTGGAAGAAAACGTCGTAGATTGTCGGTGTCATGAATACTAGGTACCAGAGACCTTCCGGCGCGCGGGGGACAGTGGCCGCCTCGCCAGGAGGTCGCCATGACACCGGCATGGCAGGGCATGCCCAAAGCCCCCCTATAGGGGTTCAAGTAAGGCAGGACTCAGGAGACCTCCAAGCAAGTCATCAAGAGGGATTCCTCTTGCACATCCCTTGACTTTCCCACGCCCCACCCCCGCCCCCCGCGCCGGAACGCCCGAGGCGGCGGGCTCCTGCGAAGGAATCGTTCCCGGGAACAAGCGTCCGATTCACCACAGGCCAAGCCAGGGCGGCACTAGTGGCGGAGCAAGAGGAAGATCCCGGAATGGGGGAAACAAACCCCGACAAACCGGAATCATCGTCACCAAGTGCCCAAAGCCAGCCGAAGGGGCTTGCCGGGAAGAAACTCATGCAGTGGCCGGTATATTTCGTCAGTGCCATCCTTCGCGAGGCTAGGGTGCGCTACCCGGAAGTACAAAAAATCCTCTTGGCAGTACTCATTGCTTCCCGGAAGCTCAGGCACTACTTGCAAGCACACCCTATCATTGTGGTCACCTCGTATGCACTCGAGCGCATCCTCCGCAACTGGGACGTCACCGGCCGCATCGTGGAGTGGGCTCTTCAGCTGTCATGACTTGACCTCTCCTTCGCCAGCATGCATACCATCAAGAGCAGGGCATTGGCGGAATTTTTGTAGAATGGACTCCGACGCCCTCGGACAAAAAAGAAGTAACCTCCCTTCCTCGGAAAGAGGACCCAGACCACTGGACGATGTACTTCGACGATTCTTTTTCACTCGGAGGCGCGGGCCCTGGAGTGTTACTCCACTCCCTGTCCGGAGAACACCTCAAGGACGTCATCCAAATACTGCACACTTGGGATAAGGCCACAAACAACACAACTGAGTATGAAGGGTTGCTTCTCGGACTTCGCATCGTTGCGGGACTGGGAATCAAAAAGCTGATCGTCAAGGGCGACTCTCAGCTGGTTATCAATCAGGTCATCAAAGACTACGACTGCCCTAGATGCAGGCATACGTCGATGAAGTAAGAAAGATGGAACGCCACTTCGACGGCTTGGAGATGAAGCACATCTCGCGTACTCAAAATTACATTGCTGATGAGCTATCCAAATGGGCAGCGCAGAAGGCACGCATTACCCCAGGCATCTTCGTCCAAAACTCACACAACCCACAGTCACTCCAACACAATGCAAGGCCAAGAAACTCAAGGCCTACCCAAGCAAGGAAGGCAAGGCCTTCCCGGGAGAGCTTCCGTCAAGTGATCCTGGGAAGACCGCCCCTGTCAAGAACGAAGTACTAGCGGTCGAACCGCGAGCCCCGACATGGGCCGCGAACCTCGTCTGTTGTCTTCAAGAAGATGAACTCCCGGGTAATCGCAAAGAAGTAGAAAAAGTTGCCCACCAAGCCAAGATGTACATCTTGATAGATGGGGACCTCTATCTAAGACTGCCAAACGGGGTGAAGCTTCGATGCATATCCTGCGGAGGAGGAAAGCTACCGGCACACATTCATGAAGGAATGTATGGTACCCACATCGGGTCCCGTGCATTGGTAGGCAAGGCGTTCTGACAAGGATTCTACTGGCCCACCGCCATAAGTGATGCCATTGAACTGGTGCGAAGCTTGCCAGTTCCACTCCAAAAGCATTCATCAACCGGCGCAGGCACTCCAAACCATCCCCCTTTCATGGCTCTTCATGGGCTGGGGGCTGCATATTCTCGGGCCCTTCCCCCGGGCCACCGGGCGCTTCGAGTACTTGTACGTCGCCATCGACAAGTTCACGAAATGGCTGGAAGTGAAACCTGTTTGAAAGGTCACTGGTCAATCTGCATTCAAATTTTTGAGGGGATTGGTCTGCCGTTGTGGTGTGCCCAAGCGCATCATCACCGACAATGCCACCCAGTTCACAAGTGGTGCGTTCACAACATACCGTGAACAACTTGACACTTAAATCTGCTACGTATTCGTGTCTCATTGAAGTGGGCCAACGGTCAAGCAGAGTGGGCCAACACTGAAGTGTTGCACGGTCTCCGGACCAAAACTTTTGATAGGCTGAAGAAATGCGGTAGACGATGGATTGATGTACCTGCAGTTCTTTGGTTGCTCCGCGCCAAACCGAGCTACAGGAGAAACCCCCTTCGCCCTCGTCTACGGGGCTGAAGCTGTACTCCCCACGGAACTCACTTAGGGCTCTTCTTGGGTGCAAGCTTATGATGAAGAAGACATGATGATGTCAACTTGCTTGAGGAGGTCCGTACCCGGGCCGCTGTTCATGCCGTGCGCTATCAGCAAGGACTACTGCGCTATCACAGTCACCAAGTCCGTCCCCGGGAGCTTGAGGAAGGTGACCTTGTCCTTTGCCGGATTCAGTCTGGGAAGGGAACAAACAAGCTGCCACCAAAGTGAAAAGGCCCTTTCCGGGTAGTTCAGGTCACCAGGCCAGGCTCAGTCCGTCTAGAGACCTAAGATGGGATCCCTGTATGGAACTCGTGGAACATCGAGCACCTCCAGAAGTACCATCTTCGCAAGTTCTACCCTTATAGGCGCAAGTCTTTTCAGATCCGCTCTGTTAACACGCATGTAAATACCGGGTGCATATCTCATGTATCCGGGTGCAGATCCCGTGTATGATAAATAAAATTTAAGTTGTTCCAACTAAGTTGTTCAACTTGTTTTTTTTTCAGTTACCAGGTTGTATGCGTGAGAATCACGATCGAATCTGTCCACGAGCCGGGGGCTACCATGGTGCTTAGCTACCACCATAAAATCCTAGACCTGTTGTTGGGAAGAACGGCGTTCGCACGGATCGCTCCCACACGTCGAGTACTACGCAAGTGCCTGGACGGTGTACTTCATAACTCGTGAACCGATTTGGCCAAGGTTACACACACCGGCCAGGGTTGACATGCATACAACACACAACAGAATACAAGGACCTTGGTGAGTCACATGCCGACGGGAACAAGACGTGGGGGGAGATTCGGCCAGCACAACGCCCCCTCTTGGCTACAGCTAAGTGCCCGTAGTTAAACTTTTTTATATATACGTTTGCGCTAAGTGTCCTCCCTTTGGGCTGGCGGCTTTACGGTTTGGCGTAACCTATGCGTGAAGGATGCTCTACAGAAGTAAGGTTCCCGCAAAGGCTCGGTCCTCCCAAAGGCTGTTTGCGGCACGGCACTCCTTCCCGGAAACGGCAGAGGAACACTATATCCCGTAGACGCTCGTCGGGCTAGCCCTGATGCCCTACGACGAGCATACTAGTACTTGAGACCTGCCTAGAAACGCTAACAAAATGGGGAACTGTTAGAGTACGTAATGGGCCTAATGAGCCCGTTAGTCTTAGGGTTAATTAGAGATAAGAGTCGCTTGCTTAGGGGTCAAGTAAGCCTTGCTTGGAAGTCAAGTAAACCTCTCTATATAAAGAGAGGAGATGTATCAATCTAATCAAGCAAGAATTAAGAAGGAAATCCTTCCGTCTTGCCCGGCCGTGGGCAAAAGGCCCCCGGCCGGCGTTCTTGCGCCCTCCTTCTAGCAGCGCCATAACAATTTGGTATCAGCTAGCTTCGGTTCGATCATGTCTTCACCGCCGCCCAACCCGTCTCTTCCGCTGCCGGTCACGACCGTCGCCCCGCTCCTGCCCGCGCCGGGATCCTCCGTCGCGCCCGCCCCCGTCGTCCTCACCCCGGAGGTGTCCGGGGCGCTGCCGGACCTAACACAAGCGGTCCAAGAGATCCACCTGTTCTTGGCCGGGTCCTATGGCCGCACCCGGCTGCGCCGCCCATCACCGCCACCGCACCGCGGTGGCTGCCATGGCAGCCACCGCACCAAGCGGCCCCCGCCGCGCTCGCCGGGCTACTGCAGCAGCCGCTGCAGCTGCCATCCATCGCCCCGTCCTGGCTGTCATAGCAGCCGCCGCACCAGGCGGCCTCCGCCGCGCTCGTCGGGCTGCTGCAGCAGCCGCTGCAACTGCCATCCACCGCCCCGTCCTGGCTGCCGTGGCAGCCGCCGCACCAGGTGGCCTCCGCCGCGCTCATCGGGCCGCTGCAGCAGCTGCCATCCACCGCCCCGCCCTGGCTGCAGTGGCAGCCACCGCTCCTGGCGACCTCCGCCGCGTCCGGCGCTCCGCCGCAGCAGCCGCTGCAACTGCAGCAGCCAT